ATCCTCTATTAACCTTACCGTACAGTTCGTATTTTCCGAATGACATGAACGGTATTTAATCGCATGGAAAAATATAGCGAACCTGTCCGTATGTGCTTCACACATTCACATACTAATAAAACAGGAAATTAAAAAGTTCAAAGATATAAGGTATTCGGAATCTTGTCCTCGATCAGTCAAGCTAGGCGAAGACATATGCAATCTATAAGCGACAGAATATTGAATTCTATGTGCAGGTTTGAAACTGCTGTTGCTGATCCTAATGACACCTCATGAGCCAGGGACCATAAAGATAACAAAAACGTATGATGAAAAATATCAACAGCGATGTATGGACAACAGAAGTTATATAAAGCATAATCTATTATGAATTTCCAATGAGGAGTACATAATAGATAATGCATGTTTTTCTTTGTCAATCTATTTATAGTGATTCTGTTCATTTTTATCATCACTAATACTTTTCGTATTTCTACTACCGTTATTATTGTTATCATCGTCATCATCATTATTTCTATTACCATTATTATTTCAATATCATTATCTTCGATTTTATTATTATTATTATCATCATTATTATTAGTGTCGAGGAAGATGTTGACAACAGTTATAATATGTATTACATATAATTGTAACGATATATTGACCACGAGATAGACAAAAATGCCCATTGAAATTATTATTTACTTATTTTTTTACCGCGAAGGCTTATTAATATAGCAAAAATTAGTGTCAGAATAGAATGAATTATAATAAGTATTTGAAATATCTATGAATAGGCGGCTTAAATGGTTTCATAATAAGATGGGGCGAGGAAGTCAGGGGAGCAAGTAGGGTTTATTATTACCAATATACCATCCTTCAGACAACACGCATCCCACAGAGGTATGCATAGTACTGGGTATTCAAATCTTGTATATATCCGGAAGCTGAAGATTTAAGGAAGGATAATGAAATTCATATGGATGTTATAGCCATAGGCAATAGATTTTGTTATTGAATATTTGAGGTTAACCCTGCTTCTTAAATTAATATATAATTAAATAATTAATTAAATTCTTAATTATATGAATGTTATAGCCATAGGCAATAGATTTTGTTATTGAATATTTGAGGTTAACCCTGCCTCTCGTCCTGCAAAGAAATAGATTCGGGAGTCGTGGACCAAGACAAGCCATGTTTGTTTTTGACTCGTGGGTCCAACAACGAAAGTAATCAAAGGTGACAATTCCGATTGTGCCAAAGAATGAATTGGGAATTTAACAATAGGTCAAAGTAAATTACATGAGAGGAAAATTGCGAAAGTTATAAAGGAAAGATTGATTGTTTATTTTTGTTCAAAGATAGGCATGCCTTGTGAATGTAGAAGGGTGAAGGGGGTGTCTCGATCTTGTCTCACTGTTCTGTAGATGATAGGCAAAGGGTGTAAAATTAAGCTTATATTTCAACTAACTCAGTAAACGAAAATATTTCTGTCATTTTCTTACATTTATTCTTGCTAAAATTAATGAATCCATTGAAATGTGCCACCTGTTTATGTTTGAATGATTACAATAAAAATATTCACTGTTGTACAGAGGAATAAATTGTCACGCTATGAGCCTTACTAAGACCATTTATTCATGCTACTCAGATAACATCTTGACGTAAATCAAATTGGGTTCCGTCAGGATTTCTTTCTAACCTAAAACCCCGGGTGATGGCGGCAAAACCGAAGATGCAATTTTAGAATGATTTGCCAAAGGACAGTAATTTAGAGACATCATTGTTAATATTATAAATAACATTATTGCCATCACCATCACTCAGTTATTAATATTACTGCTATCATCATAATCATGATCACCATCATCATATTTGTCGGTGTAATAATAATTATCATTATCTTTACTGTTATTATGATTAATGATAATTCTTTTTGCGCCATCATAAATATCACCAGGATTGATATCATCAATAGAATTTTAGCCTGGCCATTGTTTCCATTACCATCTTCATCAATATTATCCCTACTGGTGTTGCAGCTGTTATCACGATTATCATCATTGTTATCAGTGTTGGAGTAAATATAGAAATAATATCCTTATATTATTATAAGAATGATCATTATGCAAGATAGATGTATATCCTGTAATTGTATGATTCATTATTATATAATCTATATTGCTATTATTGTTTTCATTGTATCTGTTTTTTTAGTGTGAAAATATTTTTTAAATATATATCAAATGGATATGAATAAGATTTATCTATTCTTTGATAGCACTGCACTGCTGATCTATTTCTGCTATTTAATTCCAAATGCAGGTATGATTTTTATGGGGGAGATGAATCAGAATGCAGCATATGAATGTACAGTAAAGAAGAAAGAGAGAGTAAAAAAAAATATACAAATTACAATCCATCCTTTATTGTCTCTTTATCCGGAGCATGGAAGAAAGAAAGAAGAGAGCGAAAAAAATAAATTAAAATCCATTCTTTGTTGTTTCTTTATCCGGAT